GTCGTGAGTTATGGATTCCGAATAGCGCTTCTGACCGAGCGGCAGTGGATTTCAGAATCCAGTAAAATCGTGTCCTGTATATATTGCTAGTGCTGCCTCAGGTACTCTTCCGCTTAGACTGCTACTGAGGGCGATAGTAGTCAGGGAAGTGTACTCATCTGCCAGATCTTGTGCGCTTCTCGGCATTATTGGTGACGGCAGTTGGTAGTGGAGCCGGTGAAGGAGCTTGTGAAACAGGTTCGGAAACTACATCTCGTGTATTGTAGGCGGGTTTCAGTGGAAGTGGAAGAATTTCTGTCCATTTCGGTGATGCATGACACATGATAGCACTTTTCAACTGTCTGTGTAGCCTCTATTTGCTGCGGGATGGTAAGAAGTACTCCGGTAGTTAAAAACTACCGGACTACTTTCCCAACCATTGTAGCAACAGCCTTTTTTTTAAATTCAAAACTGGCCAGCACTTGACTGCTATCACATCTGATGGTAAGTGGCAATGCAGTCGTTGATGGTAAGCGCGCTTTGAAGAGGTAAGACTCGAATTTGCGACCACGGTCGGTTGTGATCTTCGGAGGACAGCCGAAGCGAGCTATCCAGACACAACAGCGCGGACGCTTTATCTCGTACAATCAAGTAATGTAGAGATTTTTTACAAAAACTTTACATACGTAGTCAAAACCAGAATAGTTGAAAATGTGTCAGTATCTGCAAGTAATAACAGAAATTCTTCAGCGTTTGGCCTTGATATGTTTTGGACAAGTCAGGTTATAATACCTACATAACTATCGTCACGTGCTCCGCCGTGAAGGAAAACATTGTGAGGAAACCTGCATATTTTCGAAATAATAACAAAAAAAATATATTTCGAAGATATGTGAAGTCCGCCAATCCACAGTGGGGCCGCGTGGTGGACTATGCCCTGATACCCTCAGTATAGAGGAGGCCTATGCCCAGCAGTGGGACATGTATAGGCTGTTTCTTTACTTGTAACTATCGTCAGTTATATTTTCATCTGGTTGCAAGACACAGGTTCGAATCCCACAGCGCCGAAAATTATTAAATTAAAAATAGTAAATTTTAGCTGTATTTTCAAGTTAATCGTCAAAATTATTAACCTTTTTTTTGTTTATCTATACAGGGAGGCTTTTCTAAGTGTATCCATTTTTTAAATTAAATTCTAGACATAAATAATGTTATATAAAAATGATAAATATGATTGTTCGCAGTAGAGTTCAGAATCAATGTCCTGCCTGGCGGTAACAGCTCATTATGAATAATTCCCTTCTAATCCCACCATACACACAGCACCTTATTACCTTGTTCCGGTTCCTGTTAAACCGGGTTTTGCCAGAGTCTGTGAAGCCTCTTTTCGCACGTTCTTGTCGTACGTGATCCACTTTTCATCACCAGTTATCAGGTTTTTGGTTGGTTCAAAAATGGTTCGGTTTCATTACGTTGTAATAAAGAATCACAAATGAGTACACGGTTCATTAGGTTTCTTTCAGTGAGCTCATGAGGCATCCAAATATCGAGCTTTTTTGTGGCTTTTTTCAAATGCGCTATCAAACTGTTTTATGGTCAATTCCCAGTTCTTCAGCTACATCGAAACTACTGATATGCCGATCTTGCTCCACTTTTTCAAAAATGGTATCCATTTTATTCGTAACAGGGCGCCCAGAGCGAGGTGAATCTTTGACATTAAAATTTTCGCAATGAAAACGCTTGAACCAAATTTGTGCTACTCTCACAGACACTGCACTAGGTCCATAAATATCACAAATTTTTTTCGCGGCTTGCGTTGCAAATGTAAAGCCTTTTTGTAGTAAAATTTTAAAATGTATCGAATTTCTTCATTAGAATCACTCATCTCAACAGTAAGAAAAACAAATGAAAATAACACATTTTCCTAATTTGAATTTAGAATCATCTTTTTTAAAATTTAAACTTTTTAATGATAGCAAAACCATCCAGATGCAAATGGTGTAGCCAAAGAGATTATATTAGTACATACAACCTAATACTACCGAGTCTGAACTTCGTTTGTGAATTTGGGCACCTTTACAAAATCTATCCTGTATATTATTAGATCTGTACCAAGTATAAATTGCTTATTTATTAATGGATATAACAACAAAACATTCATTTTAATTTTCTTTATAAATTTCATAATCCATAAAGTCTAAATGAGTAATAAGTTCTATGAAAGCTTTTATGGTTTCTTTTACATATTTTTATGACAATCACCATTTAAAGATGTACTTAAGTGTTATTTCTTGTATTTCTTGAAAACAAGCTACTTAGCATTTAGACGGATAGCAAAGCCATTGTTTATTTTTTTGCTATATTTTGGCCTTAATATATTTATACAGGTTGGGTCATAGAAAAAATAGCTACGAAACAAAAAAAAATTGTATTTTTAAAAAGAAGAAACAGGATTTTTTAAGACTTAAAAATAATTTTGTCGAAATGACTTCCCTCGGCTTGGCACTCCAAGAGTGTTGCAACCGAAGTTGCAGATTTTGAAAAACCCGTTGAAACATTGTTGTCGGTATTTTGTTACATTTCCTGAATAATTATATTGAATATTGCTCGTAAGTTGGTTGGATTATTATCGTAGATCACCTATTGCGGTAGCCCCATAGAAAATAATCGCTTGGAGCGAGATCGGGGATACTTGGTGGCCATTAAATATTCCCCCTCTTCGAAATCAGTTTTCCAGGAAATCCTTTTTCAGTAGCTCTTGTTGAAACCTATCCCTATCTTGTTGAAACCACATCCTCGAGGTATTGGCTTGAAGATGCAAAGCTGGCACCAAAAAGTCTTTTATCATATTGCAATAATTGTCAAATAATACCGGAGCCGGCCTAATAATACCGGTTGACGTAGTCCAGCCGAGACGACAAGCTTAGGGCTGTGAAGTGGACGTTCATACAAGCGTCTGGGATAAGTCTCGGACCAGAACCGACAATTTTGCGGGTTCACTTGGCCATTGAGGTGAAAATTGGCCTCATCACTTGTTTAGGCAAGAAATGAAGTGATATTTTGATGTTATAGACTTCGGATTTTCTTGGAATAAAAATTTCATGAATTTTGTGAACTGGGTATTTATTTTCCTTTTACAACAGTGAACGGCGAGAAAAGAAGAATGAGAATTTTTACATTGACATGGAAAAGATAGAAACGTATATTTTTTTAAATTATTGGCCTGGCGTTATGCAATTTGAGCCGTCAAAATAAAAGACATATGCACTAACATCACTGAATATCACATTGTTAAAATTGGTGAACCGATCGAGCGTCAAATTGACAAAGTTAACTCTGTTATTGGCATCATCTGGCTTTAATTCTTAGACTATCTGAATTTTATAAGCTTTCAAATGCAAATCACGCTTCAAAATTAGTCGCAAAGTCGTTCTTTTGATGTCCAAAGACTGACTTCTCTTACGGGTAGACTGTTGCTGTGCATGTAGGCTGATCTTGCCGAAACTGGGCGACCACGAGCCGTAATTAGTAATGTCGAGCCAGTTGTTTCGAACATTATTCTGATCCATTTCCGTATCATATTGGTGCATGGAACTTCAGTTAAATCGCGTAAATAGTGTTCATGTCGACAAACGTCTTACAGTAATCATTGATTCATTGTTTTCGTAATACGCTTGGGCACAAAATGCACGGTATGCTCCCGGGTATGGCTCCAGGGCGACTAAATTTCCAGTAAGCGACGCGGCTAACAACATATCCCTGTGGGAGTTTCCTACCGGGATGGTAAATAATAATTCGAGAATTTACTAAGAACGGTATACTCGATAGATCGCTCACACATATACATTTAATGGATAACAAATTAACAAATACACGAGTAGAAAATCTTGTGAAATCGGACGTACTTTCGCCGTGGGACTATGGAACCGACTGCCGGCGCGAGCGCAGCGTAATGAGCAGCCGGCCCGAAGTACATAACGCGTTGTTAATACATAGCTCCGTACAGTCTGCATCAAAACGATTATACTAAGCTATATCAAATCATTTGGCTTTACTCGGCTAATTAAAAATGTGACATTAAACAATTGTTATGGTGAATTTAGAATAGTTACAAATCAATATTAATAATTAAAAACACTACAAATTAAATAACAATTTAAATAAATTTAAAATTAAATTGGAAGTTGCCTACACTACTCCCCCGCTGAGACCGAAGCTAGCTAAGGTCGATAGTAGTCCGGGAAGCGAACTATGCGACCAGATCTTGTCTTCCTAGTTGAGTCTGTGGCTGCCGTTGGTGGAGTGGTGTCTGCAGGTGTGGGACTGGTGTCGTCTCGTGCCATGTACGCTGCTTTTAGACGGTCGATGGATACAGTCGTCCCACGCTCGTTGATACTCAGCTTGTAAGTTTTGTCGCCTCTTTCCAGTACCTTATAGGGCCCGCTGTACGGAGGTTCGAGAGAACGCCGTACAGCGTCGTTGCGAAGGAATACATACTCTGCAGTAGACAGGTCTTTAGGCACGTAGAAGGTTTTCTGAGTATGTCGACTTGCAGGTTCTGGGGTCAGCTTGGCCATGTATAGACGGAGTCGTGACATGAAACTTGTGAGATCAGGTATAGTATCAGTGTTGGGTGCGAGGAACTCACCCGGGAGTCGGAGTGGCTCACCGTATACCAGCTCTGCCGCCGAAGCCTTGATGTCGTCTTTGAAGGCGCTGCGGATACCCAGCAGTACCAGGGGAAGAACTTCCGTCCAACCGGTGTTCCTATGGCACATGATGGCTGCTTTCATTTGGCGGTGGAGACGTTCTACCATGCCATTGGAAGCCGGATGGTAGGCGGTAGTATGACGATGCTGTACGCCCAGGATGCCAGACATAGTGCGGAACAGCTCGCACTCAAACTGCCTGCCTCTATCGGTGGTTATCTTGTGAGGGCAGCCGAAGCGGGAAACCCAGCCAGCGATGAAGGCGCGCGCACAGGTCTCTGCAGTGATGTCGGCTATGGGGGGTATGCCTCAGGCCAACGAGTGAAGCGATCGATGACCGTGAGGCAGTATCTGAAACCACAAGAAATAGGTAACGGTCCTACTATGTCCATGTGGACATGGGAGAATCTTTGTGAGGGAATAGGGAAAGGAGAGGTGGGTGATTGGGTATGGCGGTAAACTTTACTTTTCTGGCAGTCTGTGCATTCTCTGGCCCATTGTCGGCAATCTTTCTTTGCTCCAGGCCAGATAAATCTCTCCGTCACTAGTTTTATAGTGGCCTTTGCACCTGGATGGCTCAACCCATGAAGTGCGTTGAAAATTGATTTTCTGAAGGCGGTTGTGATAAATGGGCGAGGGATTGAAGTAGACACATCGCAGAATATGTCTGTGTCGGAATCTGAAGTCTTGACTTTTCTGAGCGTCAAAGATGTTCCTTTTTCCAATAGCTCTTGCAGTTCAGGATCGTGATCTTGAGCGTCTGCAAGGGCTTGATAATCTATCGGCTTGGACAATTCCTCTATACGCGAGAGAGCATCTGCAACTACATTGTCCTGGCCTTTAATGTACCGAATATCTGTGGTGAACTGAGATATGAAGTCCAGGTAACGAAATTGCCTAGGAGAGCATTTCTCACGGTTATGAGAAAAAACAAACGTCAGTGGTTTGTGATCGGTAAAAACTTTAAATGGTCTAGCCTCGACCATATGCCTAAAGTGCCTAATAGCGTCGTAGATGGCTAGAAGTTCACGGTCGTACGGACTGTATTTCTTCTGTGCAGAAGTTAGGCGTCTAGAGAAGAATGCGAGAGGTTTCCATACTTTACCACATCGTTGTTGGAGGGCTGCACCGATAGATGTATCTGATGCATCGGTGAAAACAGCCAGTTCGGCGTCTGGATCAGGATGACAGAGCATAGTAGCTGTTGAGAGACTGGACTTGCAACTGTTAAACGCATTTAACATTTCTGGAGTCATAACTATACTTTGCGATGCCTTTGTCTTAGATCCAGTTAGCACGACGTTTAGTGGAGCTTGTAGTTCTGCTGCTCCGGGTATGAAACGGCGGTAAAATGTTGTACATACCCAAGAATCTCCGCATTTCTCGCACAGTTTTTGGGACTGGGTAGTCTTGTATCGCCTGTACTTTGTCTGGACGAGGGCGAATGCCATCAGCTGATACGTCATGACCAAGAAAGGTTATGTGTGTCTTACCAAATTCACATTTCGCTGTATTGACAAGCATGCCGTGGTCTGCCAAACGTTGAAAAAGCTGCCTGAGATGCTGGATGTGCTCAGATTCACTCCTGGAGAAAATCAAGATGTCATCTAAGAATCCATAAGCAAATGGTAGGCCCATGAGCATTTCATCTATGAATCTCTGGAAGGTTTGCGCGGCGTTGCGCAATCCAAAATTCATGAACTTGAATTCAAATAGTCCAAATGGTGTAGTAATAGCAGTTTTGGGTATATCATCAGGATGGACTGGTATTTGATTAAACGCTTTGATTAAATCGATCTTTGAGTAAATGGTGGTACCTGTTAAAGCATGTGAGAAATCCTGGATATGGCGGATTGGATACTTATCCGGGATGGTACGAGCATTAAGAGCACGATAGTCCCCACATGGTCTCCAACCATTGTCTTTTTTGGGCGCGAGATGAAGAGCTGATGACCACGCGCTTTCAGATCTGCGAGCAGTGCCATTAGCGAGCATTTCCTCAAACTCCTTCATAGCAATTTTTAGTCGGTCAGGTGGTAAACGTCTTGGACGACTTGTCACAGGTGGACCAGATGTTGTACGGATGTAGTGCACCGTTGTATGCTTGATTACGTGTTGAGTTCCAGCAGGTCGTGTAATATCAGGATACTCACGGAGAAGTTGATGGTACACGGTATCCCCAGACACAGCCTTGATTGATGCAATGTCTACTGAGTGGGCCGCAGATGTTGCTACTGTAGACAGGTTTGTCAGGCCGTCGATCAAGCGGTAGTTCCTCAAATCTACAAGTAAGTTATAAAATTTGAGAAAATCAGCACCAATTATTGCTTTTGACACGTCAGCGACAACAAATCTCCAGTTAAAAGCACGGCGCAAACCAAAGTTGAGCTGCAAGTGGATGTACCCGTACGTTGCAATTGAGGTTCCATTTGCTGCAAACAGCTGGTACTCCATCTTTGCGCGGTTCTGTTTCACTGCGGACCGTGGGTAAACGCAAAGATCAGATCCTGTGTCAACAAGAAAAGACATTTTAGTATAACAATCAGTAATAAATAAGCGGGCTGGTCTGTGAGGGCAGTCGTTCGCCGCTAGTTCCGGCTGCCCGTGGCGTTTTCCGACGTTTCCGTAAATTTACACGGTATTGTGCATTTGGTTGCACGGTTGCCGAAACGGCTATGGTACCAGCATATATTCGGATTGCGTTGCCTAGATTTAGATCTATTGCGACTAGGTCTCCTATTCCTCTCGTGCGAACTTGACCTACTGTAATTTCTAGAAGAATGTACCTGCATTTTTAGTGAGGCTACCTCCCGTGTCAATGCCGCAATCTGGTGGGCCATCTCGCTAAACATGGCCGTCGTACTACCGCTCGCCGCCACGTGCGTCGTCGGTGCGATTTCATTTACTTTGTCCGCCAAATCTGCGATAACTTCAAGTGGCATATCAGGTTGCGAAGCAATTACCGTTTGGATATTCTGCGGTAAACGGCTAGACCACAGCGTACGCAAAAAACTGTCGGGTATCGTTGGTCCTGCTAGCGTCTGTAAATGTCTCAAAAATTGGGATGGCTTACGGTCTCCGAGTTCTTCGTGCATAAGAAGTTGTTTTAATTTTTTCTCCTGTGAAGCAGAAAGTCTCTTGATTAGCTCGGCCTTTAACTTCCCGTATTTGTCCTCCGGTGGTGGGGATGTAATTATATCTTTGACCTCAGTAGCGTAAAGGTGATCCAGTTGAGCAATCACGTGGTAAAATTTTGTTGCATCAGCTGTTATGCCACTAATCGCAAATTGGCCCTCAATTTGGGCGAACCATAATGCCGGCTCTTCTGGCCAAAATGGCGGCATTTTTATGCCAACTTTGCATACGCTACCTTCATCGGCCAATACATTCGCAGCTGTACGGCTCGCGATCTTTCTGGAATGTTCGCCGGGTAACGCTTGCGCCGTTAATTTCTTATCGCTCGACATTGTTCTTCGTCGGGGTCACCAATTATGTGGGAGTTTCCTACCGGGATGGTAAATAATAATTCGAGAATTTACTAAGAACGGTATACTCGATAGATCGCTCACACATATACATTTAATGGATAACAAATTAACAAATACACGAGTAGAAAATCTTGTGAAATCGGACGTACTTTCGCCGTGGGACTATGGAACCGACTGCCGGCGCGAGCGCAGCGTAATGAGCAGCCGGCCCGAAGTACATAACGCGTTGTTAATACATAGCTCCGTACAGTCTGCATCAAAACGATTATACTAAGCTATATCAAATCATTTGGCTTTACTCGGCTAATTAAAAATGTGACATTAAACAATTGTTATGGTGAATTTAGAATAGTTACAAATCAATATTAATAATTAAAAACACTACAAATTAAATAACAATTTAAATAAATTTAAAATTAAATTGGAAGTTGCCTACATCCCCCCGCCGCCCCGTGCCCCCTGTTTCCGATAAATTGAATCGCTTACACTCATATTGCCCACTTTCTTCAATTTTCTTCCCAGAACTTTAAAAAAAAAATTACAATTTAATAATTTCTAATGCCTCTTGGCTCAGTTTTTGATGAGGGTTATTACGTTTTACAGCACAGTTCTAAGTTTTATCAATAACTTGATGATTTGAGGGATTCAAATAAAAACTTGCTGTGCTAAATTGTTTATAGGCATTGCTTGCCATGCTTATGGCTTAATACTTGGAATGCTTTTTCCACTCTAATTTTTTTAATCCTTGCGGGATCAATATGCTTATTGGTCAGTTTGGGCATAATTCGCAACTCTCCATTCGACTTGGTGGCTTCGTGGTCGTCGTCGGGGTCTTCTACTCTGCTTTTTGAAGGCATGCAGATGCGGGTGTAGATGTTGAACCTGATGACTCGGGCTTCCTGGTTATTTGGGCCATATATCGGCCAGCGGGCAATTGTTGTATCGCCAATAAAACGGTGCGTGTTTATGGGCGGCGACAGTGGCGGATGGGCGCACGCTCGATACTGGGTGGCTATCTATATCCCCATCTATATCAGGTAGGGGTTTGTAGACCGGTAGCGTCTATAGTCTCGCCTTCATCGTTAGGCTGCGGGCGGAAATCTGAGGTGGAGGGGCTGTCCCCCCACTGCGGATGTCTGGCTCGATTTCTATCTCGCCCAACTGTAGTCCATCCCGTTTCCGTACACTAGTGCGCGTTTGAGCCTGTGATTATCTTCGATCAGTTACACAACATCATAAGTGTACAGTCAGCATCGCCTAATTCATACGCTCCGTAAGAATGTTTTGATAGGGAACATTTTGAAGAAGGTAAGATAATGTGAGGACTCGCAACAGAGACTTTTTGTGAAAAAAAAAAACGTTCTATAACTCTCCGATAAAGTGTCTTCGATATAAACAAGCTACGACCCTACTATAACCTTCGATATAAACGTATATTAGTGAAAAACAGACGACTTTGGTCAGCTGATTACTGACATTTGTAATGACGTCTTTTAAATCATTCCATGCCGCTACCTTCGTTGCATTGGAGATCGTGTCGGTGTTTTTTTCGTTGATTTTAGATAACAAGTACCCGCTCCTTTACCAAAACAATCTTTCAAGATAATCTTTGAAAGCAATAACACTAAATTTTAGTACCTTTCGGACCATCAAGTTGAATTCGCATAGAGTTGAAATCTCAAAAAGTTGAACTTGGGTAATGTTGAATCCTACAAAGTTGACTTCCCAACATGTTGAATTATGATTTCCCAAAAAGTTGAATTTGTATAATGTTGAATCCCATAAAGTTGAATCCTTTAAATTATTGAACTGTTTTTTAGATTATACCTACATCCCACCTATGTACCTAATACGAATCGAATAACATTATAAGGTAAGGGCAATTTTGACAGATAAACAAATTAGTTGGCGTACGCTGTTTTATTGAACTAAACTTAACTAAAATACAAAATCAACTTTCTTCCACTTAAAATAAGGCATAATTAAAAAAATAAGTTAGAAACCAAGTTTTAATCTGGTTAAATGGATTTTCCTTAGAAACATTTTTGGTGAAATTACTCTTCTTTTCAGTTGTTTTAATAAAGATGCATACTTAATGTCAAACAAAATATCTTTCGTCCGCCTATTTTTTTTGAATGGTGCAAATAACAAATACCTTTCGTCCGCCTATTTTTTTTGAATGGTGCAAATAACAAATACCTTTCGCTTTATATCGTAATGCTTCGTTTCTTTTAATTGCGAAATTGCGAAGTTCTAGACTTGCGAGTATAACAAAATTGTAACACTAACTTTATCTTCCTCTAGCCAATTTTCACTACTCTGCCTTTTTAGCATTCATGTTCATTTTAATATAAATATAAACCGTCCTTTTATAATTCAAATTTCACTATTTTTTTTGCGAAATTGCAACATTACGTTCAATAAAGCCATTTTACGTTATCGGAGGTTTATCATACGATTATGAATAAAGATTTTTATCGAACGTTGAACGCAGCACGTTCCATTTTTATTTTTTCTAATTCTTCCATTTTTGCTAACTTCTTTTTAAAGTATTCTTGATACAGGTGTTCCGAAATTATAGCGGGCATTCTTTCTTTTGTAGGTTGTTTTTTTTCTCCTTTATCTTTCTTATAATAAAAATGTCTTGAAGGGGCTGGGGATTTCCGCGGACACTAAAGAAGATCCAGCTTGGCAAAGGTTCATACAACTTCCAGGAGATTCTTCAAAAACCGTAGGAGTGTTGTTTTTAGATGGCAGGCTGTGTTATCTATTGAGGTTTGGTTATTGCTCTCGTTGATGCTACTAGCAGCGAGCGGCGTTACACTGCTCGCTTCTGCATATCTCAAATTTATATCTTCACTGCTTTCTTTGGCAGGCTCGTTGATAACAATAGAGATATTTAGCAAACCACTTTCTATTTCTAGTTTTTTATTTTGCCACAATTCAAACAGTGACATATCTTTTTCATCCAGCTCATTTTTATCTCCGTTGCGAAATATTATGAGCTTGCTTTCTGGAATACTTTGATTGAGAAACCTAAGCCCTGCTTTTAAAAATCTTTTACGTTCCTCAACATTCGTGAGTTGATTGTCTTCATTGTTTAATGGGACAGTGACAATTTCTGGGTTCCACGGAAATAGCCCACATTTCCTAAAACCATTTTCGAAGATTTTTGCGTTCTTTTTTTTTAATGCGAAATTTTGCCAAACGAGCAGACGGTTCACCCGATGGTAGAAACTGTCTTCGTGAAATATTTAATAATTGTACTTTAAAGAAGGCTATTGTTAAGAATCAACCTTCGCCCCTGGCAACACCGAGAAAATGTCAATGACACATCGTTTTTTGAAAACCCGATCGACCAGTGTTTTGTTTTTGTATCAAATTAAAAAAAAGGCATTAAAAATTCTACAAAAATTCTCCAACTACTATTCAAAGAAAATCCCAGGACTTAGTGGATTCATTAGTGACCCCGACGTGACCTACAGAAGAACTGCACACAAATAACATAGTAAAAAGCCGCCAAGCGGAGCCTAAGAAGTCAAGAAAGGAGGCAATATTCAACACCAGTATCTAGCGGTCAGGCGCTGCTTGATTATTTAGAGAAAAAAAAAAACAGCTGATAAGTCAACATCATACAAGTCCAATCATTCTTCTTTGGTTCAATTAAAGTTACCGTCGATTCAGATTCCACCTTTTGAAGGTCATCATAGTAACTGGCTTTCCTTTAGAGATACCGATGTGTGATTAATTCACAACAATGACCGCATCGATAACATAAATAAATTTCATTACTTAAAACAGTATCTAAAGGGTTCAGCTAGTAAAGTTATAGAATCAGTGACGATATCAGCTGATAATTATGAAATTGCGTAGTCTTTACTTTTCCCGCGCTTTTTAACAATATTCTTTCTAGCTCAGCAAAGCTATTCGAACCGCTTGGTTTAGGTAGCCTGACCATTATTCCAAAGATTATGCTCCAAAAACTATGGCTTTCAAAACTTGACTGGGACGACTCAGTAGAGGCCACATTGGAAAAAGAATGGTTCTAATTCGTGAGAGTTTGGACAAATTTCTGATATAGAAATACCTAGATGCGCCTTAATACCTAATGCAATTAGGATAGAGTTGCACTCGTTCTCAGATGTATCACAAGCAGCGTACTGTTATACGGGATATTATGAAAGTCTTTTTAAAAAATAGGAACTTTATTATTAACACTGGTTTATTATAAAATAGAGTTAGAAAATGTTTAAATGTTTAAATTAAAAATAAAAACAGGATGGAGACTGGATTGAGACTGAGTAACGACTGCCTTACGACTGTTCTCGAACAAGCTTCTATCTGATGCGCCTAGCGACTATGAATATGCTGACACAGCTCCTTTGTAGAGCGGTGGAATGCATCAGCCCTAGTGTATACAATATTAATATATAACACCTCCCCCCTATGAAAATAAACTTCGGGGTTAATCCGAAGTTTATATAACAATAAAATATTTTTTATAAATTTAGAAATACAATAAACACTATTAATACAACAATTTGAATATTACACAATAATTTGAACATAGAATTCTTACAGTAATAGTAAATTTGAAATAGAAATACATTTAAATGATTTTATTATATGTTCACCCTTAGACGAGGGGGTGGAATAGAATCATCATTGTTGCTTTGCATTTCTACATTTTCATTGGTTATTTGATTTAAATAGAATTTGGAAAACTTAAATTTCATAACAATGTATAATATAATAACAATTAAAATCACTAACACAATAATTATTAATAAAATTGCAATGCTATAATGATTGCCGCATTCTAAAATATGCGGCAGAAATCCATGAGTTATTATGTAGTATTTGCCAAATATTTACATTTCCATATATAAACTTATATTCGCAAGATTTAGGTATGTTATAGAGGAAAGATAGAGGACATTTGGAATAGGTTGTATTCATTGTTATGTGAGGTAAGTAGCGTTTTGTAGTATTTGATGTAATCTCATATATTTTATTGTCATAATAATCGTTTGTTGTGTGTTCACAGGATACGGATATTTCAACGGATGGAGAGGATTTAGAAGATACGGGAGACTTAGAAGCATTGCTGATTTCAGATTTGGGTGCAGAGGGTACAAGTGATACAGGGGAGGTTGCAGGGAACACGGAGGATTTAGTATTACAATTAACGTTCCGGTTTGAAGCAGAGGATGCACAGTATTTAGTAATGTTGTTAACATTATCTACAGGTATAGAGGATACAAGAGCCGTGATAGCTCAGTGTCCGGGCGCTCGCCTTTAATTCAATATTCTCGAGCAACCTGAGTTCGATCCCCGGTGCCAATGAAGTTTTTAACTTTAAGTGCTGACTTATCACGTGCACCGCGGTGAAGGAAAACATCGTGAGGAAACCTCGAACCATATTTTCGAAATAATAACAAAAAAAATATATATTTCGAAGATATGTGACGTCCGCCAATCCGCAGTGGGGCCGCGTGGTGGACTATGCCCTGATACCCTCTGTCTAGAGGAGGCCTTTGCCCAGCAGTGGGACATGTATAGGCTGTTACTTTACTTTTATAGAGGATACAGAGAGTTTTGAATAATTATTATTAACGTTGTCACTAGACGCAGAGGATACAGAGGATTTAGAATTATTATTGACAATCTCATTGGATACAGAGGATTTACAATTTTTATTATTATTATTACTGACATTGCCATTAGATACAGAGGATACAGAGGATTTTGAATATTCATTATTGACAATGTCGGAAGTAACTCGCGGATAGGAACGTGGAGGTCCACGTGATGTTGAAGGTTGTTGCGCAGGTGTGAACTGCGTGCTATATCTATTATTGTTAAATTGTCGTTTGCGGCAAGTCTCGATGGTGTGTCCCTCGAATTTACAATACCTACATACAGGCGGGAAGCTACGATTTTGAAAGTGAGGTTGTTGGTATCTACTATTTGCGTTATGTATATTTGATCTAAACTGGTTATCATTGGAACGAGAAAAACGAGGGGCTTGATGATTAACAGACGGACTACGTTTATTCAATAAATTTTGGATTTTTTCTTCTGAAACCGCGATATTCATGGCCTCATTTAAGGTTTTCGGTGATCTACATCTGACGATATTTGAGAGTCGTGGGTGTAACCCTATTAGGAAATGATGTAAAGCTAAATCTTCCATTGCTGCAGTCCTACCCGGGGCTTCTTTAGCTTTTGTTAACACGATTTCCGTAAGTAACTGTGACAAATATGCCTCTACACGTAAACCAAATTCGTTGACACTTTCATTAGGACCTTGTTTGCACTCTTGTAAGTCCATTAAAAGATGAGAATAATGTTTTGTTTCGGAAAATTGTGTCTTTAAAAAGTCTTTTAATTGTTCCCAATTTGTGAAGGCTTTAATTGAGCAAGCAATTTTCGCTTTTCCTTGTAATTGACATAGAATATATTTGAATAAAATACTTTGTTGTTCGGGTGTGGCTAACTCGTATGCGTTGTTGCAATCCGTTATAAATGCATTTAGAAGTTGACGATCACCATCATACGGCTTAATAAATTGAAGAAGGACTCTTAAGTCCATTGTAAAAAGGACGCCTTTGTCTTGTTTGCTCATATTGAATTGAAAGAAGCGTTCTTATCGCTTACTATGGTCTAGTCAACAAGTTCAAAAACGTGTTAAATAGATATAAAGCTCTTAAAAATATGTGCGATAGCTCATTCGATTCGGAATGACGCCTAGAAAAATTGTTTTTAAGGGTACATAAAAAATTGCGATTGTTATTAACAAAATAGGATAAAAAAAGGGTATTTAGTTTTTTGTTAATAATTTATAATAAATAAATCTAAAATAGTGAAATTTAATGAATTTTGAAAAAAGATCCTGAAAGAGGAGGAAATTTCCAATAAAAAAGTCCCAACTCCCGGAATTCTATCTCTATTATTTATATTTTTTTTAATGCTGAAAATAGGGCTCCGCGAGGTCGTTACGGCATAGGCGCGCCGTCTAAAAAGCCGGTATATCACCTTAAATAATTTTTTTATAGTATTAAATAACAATTTAAAAATTTGAATAAATTATGGTGTAATCTAGACACTTAAACGAAAAAAATCTCGGTAGAAAAAAAAATTATGTCGATTTTTCAAAAAGTTACACCATTGTTAATTAACAAATTTTTTCCAATCTCTGTTTTTGAAAATTACGCTATAATTAAATTACGTTAAAAGTTTAAATAATTGGTATATAAATTTTTCGCTTCGTGGAGCTCTCCTCATTTAGGTACTTAATAAATTAATGCAAAAAAAATTATTAAAGTTTATTATTTTGTTAATTATAATTTTTTGAAATTAACAAAAACTAAAATTTCTAAAAAATGTTATCAAAACAATTTTTTTTTAGTAATATTATTGCTGTTTTTGCATCTAATATAGGTATTAATTAACATTGGAAAAAATTTTTACGTCATTTGTTAAGAAATTGTTTATAAACAAACCGACTATTTTGGGATTTTTTTAAAAAAAATTTTTACCATCTTATTGCATAGGTTAAATAATGATTTTTAGAACAAAAATTTTTTCTTAAATAATTTTTTTATTGTTTATAATCGTTTTTTTTATATTTCAAGTGTTTAAATAATTACTTAAGAAATTATTTTATTCTTAAAAATCATCATTGATCCTTTTCAATGGATTAACAGAGGAATAAATTTTTTTTATAAATAATTTCATTGTTTATAAACTTAACAATTTGTTATGAACAAATAATATCAACCGTTTTATTTTTAAAACGTCAAAAAATTACAAAAACAACCATAACAAAGTACAGAAAATTTTTTTTTGTATTTTTTACAGCATTGTTAAATATTATATGATAATGAAAAATACAGCCGTTACATAATTTGTCAAATTATAAATTGTTATAACTTTTAAACTATAAGAGATACGGTAAAGGACCTTCAGGTCATTTTTATAAAGGATTTATTTATCTTTGAAATGAATTCCAAATCGATTCTGTAACTATTGTTTATCAATTGTTATAAGCATTTGTTTATAAAAAATTTAGATTTTTTTTATATTTTTTGAAATTTCATAGCTTATAACTTGTTAACTAATATTGATACAGCTACAGATCCAAGAACTTTTTTGTTCTATAATAAAATATCGTTCTAATTACGTATAAATTATAGCAATATATATTTTTGTTTAAATAATATACTGGTTTAAATTTATACTTACCTAATTTACATTCTGCTATAGATCATTTTTCAAAGTTTAATTATTTATTTACTGAAATATTATTTACTAAAATAATAATTGAATTTATTTTCTAATTTTTCTCTTTTTTCAGGTTTATTTTCTAAATTATTTTATTTTTATTATTTTTATTGTTAAAAACTTAAAAACTATAACTTTCGGATAAAAGGAAATTATTAATTACACATTATTTTGTTTAAAGAACATTTCAAAATATATTTTCATAAACAATACAGTCGTTTTTAGATTTAACGAGTTCTCCCTTTTTTAACGGGTGGTCGTCCTGAAGAGCTTGGTGCATCAATATTTGGAACTGCACAGTTTTCTTCCTGCTCTCTTATTTCGGTTGCTTTTTCAATTCCATCATCATCTTTTGAGTCTTTGGATTTGTCATGAGTATCATCTGAATCAGAATCGTCAGATCCGTAGATTTCTCGAATGATCTGACGATATTTCGAATTTCTTTGGTCTTGAGCGTCGTCACCAATCAGTTCGTATCCAATGTTATCATCGTCTTCTTCGTCTTCATTTTCTTCGCTGTTTTCTACGTTTTCGACGAGGACGGACCCATTACTGTAAGTTCCTCCTTAACACCCTTTAGATGATCTTGTGCATTTCACCCCATTTTTTCTACAACTGCAATTTTTCGAGCAATTCGAAGTTGTAAAACTGCAACTGATTTATTTCAGCACTTTTTCGGGTGCCAAGGGTGCGGTTGTTCTGATAGGTAGAAACATCGTTTCGGTCCTTTGCCATCTCCAATTTTCTGCATTTAATGGGTTACCAAGCCATGTTTGTACCTGATAATAAGCCCTTAAAGAATGTAAATGTGTAGCAGAATCTGTAGGAGGTAACGTAGCCAAATTCACCGTCTTAGACATGGTGACATTAGCTAAAAAGTGATCAATCCTACATTCATTAATTGACTTGTTATTGGCTCCAAACATTTTTAGCATAATTCGCTCGCAAGCTTGTTTTATGTCTTCCACGGTCGACTCAGCGTTATAAAACATTTTAACTTCGTCTTTTAAAGTCGCATCTTTTTGGATCAAAGTTAATAAGTTATTTTTACCTTTCCGGAAAATCGAGCTCACAGTATCACAACCAGAGAAAGCATGAGCAAACAATAAAATATTTTTTAGTTGAGCATTTTTCTCTGCTTAATAGAGCACGTCCGGTTTCTTTTGGATTTTTGTTTTCCACATTACAATATTATCTGGGGATAAATCGATTATCATAGCTTCCAAATCGACTCCCACAACAATAACATTTTCTTCAAATTGCTGAGCTAAATCCAACGCTTTGCGGACTATCAAAACATCAGCATCTTCTTTGGCTTGGAGAATAGTAAAACCTGGCTTCTGCTGCAAGTAATTAATCAAAAGCTGAACAAATCTTGATTTATTTTTGATGTTAGATAAGAAAAAGTCTTTATTCCGTGGTATTGGCATATCTTCTGTAAATGTAACTTCCGGTGAGGTTTTGGTACGCACTCTCCTGTAACGTTCGTAAGATTTTACTCCTAAATTGTTAATATTGTAACCATCGAAAACAACTGTGGCATTTGAAGAATAATTGTTGGATATGAATGTTGAATAGTTCTCGAAAATTTCCATCTTTACGCCAAATTACTTTGTGTAAAAGATACCCACCATCCATGACGTAATTACATTTGGAGGGATCAGGTTTTACAAAAGCTGTTGGCTGCAATGATTTATATAACTCTGACTTATTGCTTTTTCTCATTAAACCTTTGTCATCGAATAAGCTCATTGGGAATGGAGCAAGTTCATGGACCAAAGCTTCTTGGACGATGTTTTTGTCATTTATCATTGATGCAACAATCCGCTGAAATAATAGTGTTGCATTGACCGTAACTGGCTCGTCATCGACGATACAAACCGGTGTTGTTTTAAGAAGTGTCTTTACACAGTACTTTTTACTGAAGTTATATGTCTCAGCATCAGCTCCAATCATCTTTATTAAGCTTTCTAAACCTTTCTCTACCGCTTTATGACAATCGACTGTCGAGTCGCCAACTAACCCCGTGGAAAGCGATATTAATTTGCCAGGTCTTTCGTCAAAAAGTCCATGGTCTTTTAGCCAATTTTTAAATGATTGAACATCTTCTTTATCTTTTTTTGCCGAGCTGAAGAAAGGTCTACATGTTGGTTAGAATCATCTTCTAACCAACATGTAGACCAACATCTCGAATTAGTAAAGATTCCAATTGGTCCATTATATCGTAAGCATACGGCATGCCTTGAATCAACCGTGTTAATACACTGTCTGTCACTGAACGTCCATGAGTAGCAGATTGAGCACCAGTTTTGAGAACGCGCATCAATGTTTGCTCAATTGTCATATCGGTCCAAATTCCCGACTAGGCTTTATCAGTACGTCTTATGGTAAAAAGCCCCTTTTCCGTGAAAGTTGTAAACTCTGCAGCTTTCATGGCATTTTCAAGACTTAACATATGTTGAAGATAGGTCTGTGCTCTTTTACAGTAGTTAAAATGTCCTGCTGCGTGAAAAATTGGTAGCATTTGATGATAACATGATAAATGTAAGTTCCAATTTCCCAAACGTTCAGCTTCATCATGTTCATTATAGCGTTGAAGTACTGTAACCACAGTTCATCAGTTGGACTTTTACGTTGTAATGTAGTTATCGCACTAGTGAATAATTCTAATAAAGCCACAACATCTTCATTACTATAAACTTCATCTATAGATGGTGGATAGTTTTTCAAATCAGCAAATAAATTAGAGATAGTTAGTTTTTTATCTTCTATTCTCCGTAATGTACTTATTAATGCAGGAGGAGCTTCCGTTGGTCGACATTCTTTCACATGCTTAATATTTTCATGGCTGTTTAGGTTTTCCGGACTTTCTGCGAATTCTGCAATAATTTCTCCAATAGCATTCACTGCCCGCATATGTGCACGGATTGCTCTGGAGTAAGCTGTGCACGATAACACTTTATCGACCGAATTTTGAGCAAAAACTGTACAAAACAATTCAAATATTCCAGAACCCTCCATTATTGTTCCAATAGCTTTTAAGTAAGACATTAGTAAATGGAACCCTCCTAGGCGAGGAATAACATTTTTCAATTGTTGCTCTTTGGTATTACATAGTATTTGTTTCGCTTTTATGTAAAGCGGATAATCAAAAGTTACAAAGCAGGTTTGACGACCAGTTTCTTGACAATGATTTTCAGCATAATGCAACGCTGTATAAATTGTTCTAAAATCAGATGGATTTTCATCTATAAATGGCAAGCAATAAACCCTCGACACCTGGTAAAATGGCAATTTAGCAATCCTATCAAATAAGCCACGAATGCTAAGTAATTTTTTCACTCCTACATAAGAAGCCCATATATGCGATGTATATACTGTAGAAATGCCTGGAACTACATCTCCAAAATGAAATCCAGATACATCTAAATAATTCACAGGTTTCAGTGGGTTTTTTGCTCAGGCAAATCTTTCAACTCTACAGCTCCAACGGTAGCAATTTCAGATGCTGTTGGTAGCCTTTTTAGTTTCGGAATTTCCCCAGAAGTGCACACAGCATGTTTAGGAGCCACACAGCAAATACCGCCCATAATGTGCATTGTATTCTTACCATCAATAGTACATGAGTTGTGATCAGCATTATCATATACATACTGTGTGAAACAAGGTTTATCAATTTTGGTTACTTCAGCTTTTATTGCAGATAACTAATGTAGTGCTACGCTATGATAAGATGCACACACTCCGAGCTTCGCCAACAAATTGACAATCAGTTTCGACCCAGACTTTCGGTTTATGTACATACCTGTTGATAAAAGTAAAGTGGAAATAAACGTTTTCGGCCTCATTGAAGAAATGATTGAATGAGCAATATAATCTTTTTTTACTCCAAGAGCAGTGAAATTTCCGTTATCATCATCGCTGGTTGTGTCTTCGTTATCATTCTCTTGTTGTTCAGAATCTTCTGCAGCATCCGTTGATTTTGTCCTTTCTCTAAAAGATCTCTTCTTTTTATGTGCATCGAACATCAGTAGTTGTTCCAAAAACGTATCTAAATATTTAGGAATGTCTGAATGAACATTTTCGAGGAAGCTGACAGAAGAAGGATAAGTTTTAACTTTGTACTGTTTACTTTCAATTTGTTTTCGAATCAGTTCAGCAGCAGTTCGGATAACGCGAATATCTTCATCTTCTTTGCGTGGTTCAGAATGCATATACCACATATCGTCTAATGGTAAATCACCAGAACCACAATAATTAATTACACTTTTGTTCCCAACTCCTGTAATCGTAATATCATTACCGAAATGTTCTTGTAAATGACTTATTAGAGTTCGTGATGTCGGTTGATATTTCATGATTTTTATGAGTTCAGAAATAGTGAATTGACATTCTGAATTGTTTTCTATATAATCAAAAACATATTTTAATGATTGTTCGAGAGGAGCTTCCTCTTTATCATCTTCATGAGTGGGAATCAATCTAAAATTATTGAAACATTTAAGATGATAGGCAAAATCTAAAAACAATTTCCGTAGATCATCTGAACGTACGACATGTTTTTTACGCAAACTGTGAAAATAATCTTTTTGGCAGAATATACATAATTTATCAAACGCAAAATCAGTAGAACCACTGCGTGTAGATTATGCTGAAACAGATGAATGTGAAGACTCAGAATCATTTTTTTAGACAACAATAAATAATTTGTTCGACACTTTTCATGAACTTGGATTTCCGTTTCTAATGTTTTGTATTTCTTATCGCCAATTTTTAAACTACAATCTCGCAATGAATTAATTCCACGTTCTTTAACTGTCTTCACTTCTTTGACACCAATCAAATTTTTCTCACAAATAAAACATTTCACAGAGTAGTCCATTGTTATGATATAATAATAATTATAATATTATTAATAGAAAAAAATGGAATTGTTTGTTCAGTAAGTAACACTTGCTATCTGCATAAATATGAATATACCTGAAAAAAGAGAAAAAATAGAAAATAAATTCAATTATTATTTTAGTAAATAATATTTCAGTAAATAAATAATTAAACTTTGAAAAATGATCTATAGCAGAATGTAAATTAGGTAAGTATAAATTTAAACCAGTATATTATTTAAACAAAAATATATATTGCTATAATTTATACGTAATTAGAACGATATTTTATTATAGAACAAAAAAGTTCTTGGATCTGTAGCTGTATCAATATTAGTTAACAAGTTATAAGCTATGAAATTTCAAAAAATATAAAAAAAATCTAAATTTTTTATAAACAAATGCTTATAACAATTGATAAACAATAGTTACAGAATCGATTTGGAATTCATTTCAAACAAAAATAATAAAAATAACGTACAATTTTGGGTACATTAAATATTGATAAACTTAAAACTAAAATTTTACTACTGCGATTTTGAGCTTTAGAAAACGTACTTAATCTAATTAATTCGCGATTGAATTACAAAAATTTAACTAAATGCGAGTTTGAGGTTTTAGAAAAACCAGATAATGTGTTATAATGGAAGAAGTTCGGTTCCAAAAATAACGAAAAGGCTTTATGGCCAATGATCGGTGAAATGATTGTACTCACCAACCAGTCTCCATGCTCCCAGGAACTTTTCTTATTTCTTTGGTTCGAGGATAGCCGACGCGTCGATGCACTCGCGGTTTACTTAAAACTTGATTTTGAAGTATTGCAAGAGTCGACTATGCTTCACGGCTATCCTACCGGCTGCGCCAGATAAGTTTTGGTAACGTTGTAAAGGCTTTTTAAAAACAATAATTAAACGTCACTATCCAGTCCTGTCACCGTGTGATTGCCAACGTCAGATCAGAGCTATAATAAAATTTAATTTATATAAATACATGCAAAATGAGAATAAAAAACTTTACAGATCGTGAAAAAAAATGAACTTTTATCCATAATAAATAAATAAGTATTCTAAAAAGAAAGAATCCATATTATTTATTATCTTTTGAATTTCATTTTTTATTTTTTCTAATCGCATGATATGTTCGCATAATAATAAACAGGTAATAGAACAATTTCCTCACGACGTATTAGGGAATTATGATTATTTTTAATAAAAACTAAGATTTTTGATAAAATACATTTTTAACCAACGATTGATCGTCCAAATTGACAGATTACTTAATAAAACTTTTGACAGCTCGTTGACCACCGAAAAATGCTTTCAGAAACTCGATTTTCTGTTGATTGTCCGTTAATCAGTGAGTAATTGCAAATCAAAATCAATGTTGTTTTCAGACGTTCTAGCAACTCAGATCATGTTAAACAACGATTGACAAGAGATTTATCGTAAATTAAAATTGATTGCGCTTTCGGAAACTGGGTGTTAGTGTTAATGAACTTTGGCAAATAACAGTCTATAAAAATCACATAGGTAGGTAATCAAACACTTTTTGGTTATGATAATATAAGCAGTGTAATTTTATTGGTATACTGCACACCAAAATAAAAAAAGTAAGTAGAAGCTTGTTTTCCGATAAAACATACATGTATACAGTAATAGTGATTTCTTTGGATATTAAACAATACTTACAATTTAATATGAAAATTTAAATGTAGCTATTTTTTTGTACATAGTCAAAACAATTAAAAATATTATAATCCGAAGTATCTGAATCAATATCATCATTACGACACTGGCACTTTTCAGACTCGGAAACATCAAGTGAGTGTTTCTGAGCCTGAAAAGTGTCAGTCTCATAAAATAAAAAAATAAAAAAGTGCAAGAGTATGACCATAAACCTCCGAATATAAAAACCACGGCAATAGAGAGCATAAATAACCAAAACAAAAATCACTATTTAAAGATCGCAACATATAATGTCAGGACCTTATCGTCATACGACCGCTTATTAGAACTGGAGGAATCAATAAAAGAAATCAAATATGACGTAATAGGAATCTCGGAAATTAGACGACTAGGTACCGGAATGGAAGAATACACAAACTTTATACTGTGCTACATAGGACACATACCAGGCAATTATGGAGTAGGCTTCATAATAAATAAGTCGCATAAGAACAACATAGAGAGCTTCACTGGAGTATCAGAAAGAGTTGCAACACTTAACATGACTATTCAAAGCTACACGTTCACGATAATACAAGTTTACGCACCAACAGTCAGCAAGTGAGAACGGATTAGATGAATTTTACACAATGGTTGCAAAAGCACTGGAGACTACACACAAGAACATTATACTAATGGGTGACTTCAATGCAAAGGTCGGAACTCCCAAGAAGGAAGAACATTTGGTTATGAAGAAGTATGGATATGGCAAAAGAAACAATAGAGGTCAGAGACTCGTGGATTTCGCGCTTGAACACAAATTAGCAATTATAAATACTTGCTTTAAAAAGAGGCAAAGTAGAAGATGGACATGGAGATCTCCGAAAGGTATTAAAAAAGAAATTGACTATATCGTCGGCGTAGAAGGAAAACCCGCTAAGTCCAAAATTCGTCATTTGGAGATAAATGGGTTTGAAAATTCAATAAGTCGTGAAAAATCGCAATCACTAGCAATTAAATTTGAGATGTATTTATTGGAAAGACACAAACTTTGAGAAAATCTACACGAAGTGAAAAATACAAAAAAATCATAGGAACAAGAATTGAGTACAAGTTTCATTAAAAAAAAAAACACGAATAGGAATTAAGTTGAGATGGGACAAATTTTGGGATTAAAACTGATTGAGTCGGGGCTCTATCAATCATCTTGTTGATCTCCCTCTTCTTCTGAATGATTCTCGGCATAATCTTCGGCAGTGATGTTGGCAGCTGCTTGTACCATGGGTGGAAGTCTACAGGGATTGCTCCTTGTCGGCACAGCTTCAGAAGGTCTTTTTTCTTCTGGACACTATTGGGCAGTCGTTTTTTATAGAGTTGAGGAAGCCTACTGGGTAGGGTACGCGGTCGCCCGATGCAGTACACAGAAATTGTCTTGTACTCTTCCGAGTGCATGTACTTGTACTCAATTTTCCCCGGTCTGTCTTTCCTAAATCGAAAGCTCTTGATTTTTAGCCAGTTGACTCGATCTCCGTTCTCGTCTTTGTTGCGGTTATTGATCACCTGATTAGCCAACGCAGAGAGATCAAAAAACTCCTTAAACTCCATCACTTAGGTATTGTAACAACTGGCTCTTTTGGTGTGCCGTTTTGATCTGGCCATTCTGAATATCGTCAACCAGTCTTGCAGAGTATAAACTGGCACTTGCTTTTTTGATGACTCTATGGCAGAGTGCATGGAATCAACTTCCATGTAGCTATGGCCACTTTCAAGGAACTTATGCTCGATCACTTCAAGTTTCGTCGTTTGTACTAAGTACAAAAATAAAGCAGCGACATTCTTGTTTCTATTTTGCCCCCCACATGTGTCTGAAAATAGGGAAACTTCGGTGATCTCGGAGGGCAAAGATGTTAGGAACTGATACAAGCAGGTACCAATTTCTGAGCTTCCTCTCTTACCGTTTAGTTCCGTCCAGCAGAAACAGTATGCATTATTGGGGGGAGCTGCTTCGTAAATTGTCAGATTATAAACGCAGATCTTTCTGCTGTAATACATGGGGCTCACATCTGATGAAGGAATCTGCAATACCGATTGTAAATCAAACGTCGCAGACAAAAATTTGGGATCCTTGGCAGCTCGATCTTTGTCGAATGATTTGGCGGCATTACAATCATCCTTCCTCAATTGGTGATTATCGTAATTTTCTTGTAGCATTGCTTTCTCATCCTGGCTACCATTATGATAATTCTCGCAGGTTTGGCACCTATCCTTCTTTGGATGCTAAAAAGATAGGTTGTATTCAGTACCAAATACCCTCTTGTAAATAAACAGGGAAACAGGACGTGGAGATTTTGCTTCTTCGGCACGATCTGGTTCCTCATCCTGAGGCCTGTCTTCATATTCTTTCTTGAATTCCTCCAAGTAGAGCTCGTACATCTTTTCAATGCTAAGAGTGGCATCCAGGTACCGTCTGCGGCTTGAACTCCTGGAGTAATGTGAATCCACAGCATGAAAGCTCTCGATGTGTTTCTTGACGAATGAAATAGCTTCATCGCTCGTCTTGTTCGCAGGAGCTCGTTTCCCTCGTTTATCTTCACCAACGTACGAGCCATACTCACCTTTATGCATGAGAGCATTATACACGACATCTTTGGATATGGACAGAGTTGAGAGGAAAAATTTTTGGCACACTCTTACATCGTCTCCATTAACTTTAAATCGGTATGACATACTGTTGATGCGCGGAGCCCCTTCCTTACGAGGTCGTCTTCTTGCAGGAGCTTGCAAAGTTACTTGCCCCAAAATAAAATCCTGCCTTTTAAAATCCTCTAGGCCCCAATAAAAAGCGCAAATGTTTTCCCGCTGAGCTTCTGTGAAGTATTTGGAGCAATGGAAACGACACTTCTGGCAGTTGATTGGTTTCGGAGTTTTGGCAGGTCGTAGCTTTTTCTTCCCTTCGTAAGGTAAACATTGACTTCGCTTACGTTTTTCCACATTACACTTCCATTTTTGTGGATTTCGTCGTCTCCACCTGCTGCCACGGTTTTCGGAAACTTCACAATCCATGACCTCGTTGTACTCCGGTTGGTCCACTTGCTCTACCAGGTTATTTAGAATTTCCTCACAGACCTCTTCAATTGCTTCAACCCTTTCCTCTTCCATGTTATTTTGTGGAGCATTGCTGTGAGCGAGCTCATTGTGTGGAATTGACGAGACGTTCATCAAAGGAATGGATTTGTCTTCTGCATCATCTTTCATCAAGTAGGGCAAAGTATCGATTTCCGTTCCAACTAAAAATCCTTCCAACCCAGTTTTTTTTTCGCGTCCTCTCCTTGATTTTACAGTCGTGATGTTGTATTCTTCCGAGACTTTTTCAAAAGATCCCTCGTCATCCAATGATGAAAAGCTGCATGATGACATTGAAGGTGGCGAATAATCAGGGTCTTCATTCAGTCCTTCATTCAGTCCTTCATTCTCAGGCTCGATGCATTCAATATCAAATTGCGGAAACGATGGGCCACTATTTAAGAATTTTGAATGAACTTCTTTACCTGATGGCAGCAAGTTTTCACGAGTCATAATTGATTGGCTGAAGTATGGCGTCCTTCTGCTTGCTCTACCTGATGAGGTTGACGGATCATCAACGTTCGGGCGGGTGTTTGTACCGCTGCTTGCTGTGAAAGTAAAATTATTGAAAATTTGAATGAAAAGCATTGAAGGAAGAAAATAAGGGAAAATAAGGCACGTATCACGGAACACGCAGAAATACAAACTTAGAACCGCAAGTTTTTTTAACCTAAATTTGGACATTACAAAAGGGAGAAGCACACACTGGTAATTTATTGAGAACCACGATACTGCACAATGTACGGTAGGTACATACCTGTGGAAGTGGATGAGGTTTGCTCATTGGAGCACACTAATGACATTATTAGTCGCGTTCTGCTACTCAACATTATTTTATTCATTTTATTTTTAATCGAACACGGTAAGATGAGAGAGAATAGTGAACGGCTTCACAGACGGCGTGGGCTCGGCACTCATCATCACAGCAAGCAGCTGTTTAAAGTTAAACAATGGAGAACTAGTAGAGGGCTCTCCAAAAGGCAACGTGTTCAATTCTGAAGCCAGATTTGCCAAGGATGGAGGTGGCGAGTTGGCAGCGACTCAACAATCAATATTGAATCTATGAAGAAATTGAGAAAAAAAATGAAATAATTAATGGACTTAGCGGATGTTACCTCTCTTTACAACAAAGTTCATCGGATGGAAAATCCGCTAAGTCCCCTCACGTGGACATGGCGGGTTTTCCTATACGAGAATTGGGTTTTTCTGAACATCTGAACAGTTGGAAAATCCGCCAAGTCCAATAAGGTGGACTAGGCGGATTTTTCTATACAAAAGAATTATTCCTTCAGGACTTAGCTGAATGACTTAGCCTGTAAATATGGACAACGGCTGATTTTTTTTAATAGAGACCCGGTACTCTACTGTAGAACCCCCCAAACATTATGTGGACGCAAAGAACGCATTTTTAGCCAAAAATGGACTTACTGGGTTTTTCTTCTACGCCCACGATATATTTGGAATTTAAAACTTTGGTACGATGAACCTAAACTTCCCGTCGGACATAGGTTAATAAGAGCAACAGTAAAACTAGCATCAAAAATAAGTAGAGCTAAATTCACAAATAACCAAATAAGTCAATTAAAAAATGAAGGAGAAATATCGTCCTACTAGGAAAACTTATCATCAATGCTAACCTGTTCATCTTTCTGCAAGGAAATCAACTCAGTTCAAACTTATTATGACAATATAATAAATGCAATTACTAATAGCCTGAAACTTACTTGTGCAACAAGAGAGGAACAAAAACGCCATAAAATATTATCGGCACGTACAGAATCTCTATTAAAAAGAAGAAAAGAAATACAAAAAACAAATCAAGATCTATGAAGAATGAACTGGCCGCACTTTTTACAAGATAGTTAATAAGTCAATAAGATATGATTATGCAAAATACAGACTATTTATCATAGAAAGACATCTACATTTGACTGGAAGCACGAAAAAGGCTTACAAGGAACTTAGAACAAATAAACTTTGGATAGAACGGATAAAAAAGATGGACACAGACACGAACAAACGAACTGATATCATCAATAAAGCAACCGATTTTTATAAAAAATTATACAGCGAGAAAAATCAAAAAATCGCCATCCCAAAAATCGAAATTCTATCAGATTGTGAAAGCAATGTTAACCCAATCAGCGTAATAGAAATTATTGAAGCGATGAAAAGACTGAAGTTAGAAAAGAGCCCCGGACCAGACTATATTATAAATGAAGCATTGAAAGTAGCACATACAATCTTGGCTGCTCCGTTAGCTGAACTATTTAATTTGGCACTACGAAATTGTGAAACACCCAAACAATGGTCGGAATCAAATATCATACTTATCTATAAAAAAGGTGACCCACAGGATATTGGCAACTACAGACCAATAAGTTTGCTACCAAGCCTCTATAAACTCTTCTCTATCATAATAAAACCGATTAAAAACTTTTAAGTTAAACGGTTTTATTTTATGTTTTTTTTTTGTGCACTGAAAACTACAATATTGTATTGTCATCTAAATTAAATGTGTGTACCAAATTACAGATCAATCTGACAACGGGAAGGTGCTTAAATTTCAATTTCTAATTTTGACCCAAATAAATAAACAAATTCCGTACGTGTCGAGCTAAATAAAACCGTTTAATAAGCAAAAGAATCAGTACTGCATTGGAAGCATAACAACCCGTAGAACAAGATATTAATTTCATTAAGATTTGTTGATGTATTACGTTAATTTTTGGATTTGAAATTCTCTTTTAGAGGTAGTTTCATGATTTTTTTCTATCGAGAAAATATATCGAGAATATGTTTTGGAAACAATGTTCCATTAGAATGTACGATCAAGATTAACATATATATTTTTTTTGCTGCTGTAAAATGTGTAGATTTTGCTAAAAAATCTTTTGAAAAACCTATTTTTACTGCATACAGCGCCTTAATAATTTAGCAAATGCAATAACCACCTGCGGTAACACAATTGCAGAAGTTATGAAACAATGATTTACCCAAGCAAGAAAAGTAGCCAAGTTTGTTTAACAGTTTTATTTATTCTGAATTTATAAATATTTTAGTTATTTTATACATTATAATAATGAATGTTTTATATTTAATATAATACATATTTTGTTAATCAAGCATAGAACCTTATTTGGCTAATAAATTAATAATAAAAAAAATATCTTTGTAACCTATTCCGCCACAGGGATGTATAAGGTGTTGTCTACTTGCCCCCTTTGCAATTTATTATTTTGCAATGGTAATGAAGATGTCTGCTGGGCCTCATTGCCCACATCATCTCTATTTAATTCCAGGGCAACAATATTTTGTATCTGGTGGAGGGCAGTTATGGAGATTGCAAAAGTTATGCGGTATGCAACATGCATTAATTATTTTAGCTACAGTGTGTGCATCATAGTGTAGGACCCTGTGTCGGAGTAAACACCTCCATCTAGCTTTAAGAAGTCTTATTGTTCACTCTATTGTATTTCTGGTTGAACAGTGGCTTTTTGTATAAAACTCTTCAGCAGATCCAGCTTTTGCATTAATAATAGGTGTCATCATATATTCCCGTTGGGCATAACCAGAATCACCTATAAATAAAATCCAGTTTAGTATTTTTTGTATACAGACTATATAAATTTTGATAAAAATTGTTGGATACCAATTGTAATTTGTAGGATATGCTACGTAATAAATATATAGTTTCCCCTCTATTTATTAATTCTAATAAATGTGCTTTAACTGGGTGCTGATTAAAAATAAAAGAATCGTGGGTTGCACCCCCAAATGATACATCAACACTTAAAATATTCACATCACTGTCACATATCTGGAATAAATAAAATAACTGCATATACCTTCAAATATTAAATATTGAAAATAACTTACAATTTGCACATTTCAGGAATGATAATGCTTTCTATTATAATATCTCTCCTCATTCTGCTTTGGTCGAATTAAAGCCACATGTGTTCCATCAATGCAACCAATCACAGCAGGAATGTGGAACTTTTCATAAACTCTATAGTAGGTAGTGGTGAAACCCCCCCGGATGCGGAAACGTAGTTTCTGAAATATATTAAAAAATCTATCCTAACCTATAAAATATTCATATTGATTAATTTAATATGGTATTTGTTTAAATCAAGTGGAGCCTCCTGCTCTAATGTTCTCTCCCGTCTGACGCTTTACATTCGACCTTCTTACTTACAGGGGTTCGATTCTGGGGCTGATCTACGTTCAACGGACACAATTGTTACCAAACCTGACTTGTCGCCAGTTTTGTTCTGGCATGAACTCAATATAATATATATATATATATATATATAGAGAGAACAAAAGAATAAAAATAAATTCTTTATTTAAATTTATAAACAAAGTTTATGGCCTCTATAAGTGATAAAAATAAATGTTTTTTATTTCTTTGTATTCTTCGTCACCACATATATTCTACAATAGTATCGGAAAAATCTTTAGGGTTATTTATGTTATCTTTATAATACTTTTTAACGGCACGCCACTGTGCCCCAAACCTTTGTATGTGAGTTCCATCTGGAGCAACAAAAGGATTGTCTGGGGATTCACCTTTTTAGAACCCAGACAATCATATGCACGCCAGCAGTTCGTATGTATAATTGACCCCTCAATCACATGCTTCTGGATCAGGGGCACCAACACTTCTGCTGAGCGCACATTCGAAGGTCTTCACTCCCATCTTCAATAAGTCCAAGGACCCAATGGCCTTCAATGTGTCGTCCTAGAACAAATCACAAATCTGTCCGAGTCGGATTGCTCTGAATCGGGCTGTCAAACATGATATCAAAAAACTTAACCAACTTAAAAGACCATTAAGAAATATAAACACCTTTGTTATATTTTCTCTTTCCTAATTTGCTTTCATTGATTTGGACCACCTTGCCAGGGCCACCAATTTTACCTATATTTTTTTGTACATTTATCTGGTATATAACTACTGTCTCACGACAGTATATACCCGTCGGCTATTGTTGCAATTGAGAGGCAGCCTTCCGTATCTCTCTCCGGATCCTCAAATATTACATTGTCATATGACCATCGGTGGGCAAAGGCGTACATTAAGAAGTAGACACGGAGCATCGATAACTTCACGTTTTCGAACCACGTGTCCTTAGCTCGAGAAACTTTCGAGCGTGCCCGACAGTTGCCTTTAGTGCATATAAATTGGCCAACATTCTTACAATTCCCATATGAAATTCGCATCGGGATGCGATGATGGCGGCACATTTTATTTTTAGGGATCAGGCCATGTTCTTCTGCGAACTCCACACATTGCTCCCGAGTTTGTAGCTTTTTAAAAGCATGGTCCAATTCGGCATTTTTATTAATTCTTCCGCGTGCAACTCAGCAACAGCCTCAGTCTCGGATGATGATGAAGCGCGCGCGTCACAAACGGCACTAGTTGACGGCTGAGGGTTGTTGTCTGC